ATTTGTTACATTGCTAATCTTTTGTGTATTCTGTGATCCTATTTTATGTAAATATCTTGCAATTCAGGTTACTACCTGTTCCCCTTTTTAGTATAAAGTTGACTTAATCTTCTGTAAACTTCTTCAACTATTAGTGTTGTGCATTTTCTGTTTGATTGAAGTATGTCAGAACCCAGAGTGTCAGAGGTGTTGAGGAGTTCACAAGGCCAGGGCAACCAATGTGAAGAAGCAATTTCCAGTGAGCCCCACAGGGGCTACAATAATATTTCCTCCCCCATGTGCCCCTTCCTATGACTTCTTTGTCAAGATCAACAGTACAACCACCAACCGTCCCCGCATGCTAGGGTGCCAGGTGTAATCCTAGACTCTGAACTCTCCTTCCAGCCCCACATCCAATCACTTTCCAAAACTTGCTGCCTCAACCTCCACAACATTTCCAAAATATTCTCCTTCCTAACCAATGACACTGCAAAGCTTCTAATTCACTCCCAGGTTATCTCTCTCCTTGACTACTGCAAGTCCCTCCTCATCGGCTTACGTCTACACAGGCTATCCCCCCTCCAGTCCATCTTGAGCGTTCCTGCCAGACTCATCCACCTTACCAACCGCTCGGTGTCTGCCGCCTCTCTCTGCTATTCCCTCTACTGGCTTCCGCTCACAACAAATAAAACCCAAAATACAAGCAACAATTTACAAAGCCATCCACGAATCTGCCCCCAGCTAAATCAATGACCTAGTCTCAGACCTCCTGCTCTCTGGCTACCTGGTCACCTTCTCCTGTGCTCTCCTTCAGGACTTCTACTGAACCTCTCCCATCCTATGGAACTCTCTACCCCAATCCGTCTGACTATCCCCTACTCTGTCTACTTTTAGGCGATCCCTCAAAATCCTTCTCTTTAGAGAGGCCTACCCTGCCCCCAACCTTACAAATGTACTTTTATTTCTCCATCGGCTCATCCCCCACAGTTATTACCTTTTGTATCACCTATCCCTTTTAGATGAACAGGGCCCTCTGCTTCCTCTTAAATTGAATTGTAACTGTACTGTCTGTCCTCATGTTGTAAAGAGCTATGCAAACTGTTGGCACTATATAAATCCTGTATAATAATAAAAATTGTAATGCACACGTGCTAGATACTTCTGCTAGAAGTTGAACCTTTGTTGTCTGTCTCCAAGCAAGGTTAATTAATTTCATATATAGTATGTAGTAGGGTCACCAGCATACGCATTGCATCACTTCTGTACATCCTGAAATTGAATGTTAAAATTTAAACTATTGGCATGACAATTGGATGCTCTAACGATTTTTTAGTGTTTCCATACAAACCTTTGAAGGAAATTCTACCCATGTATGGTTTGCTGTAGGGTTTTTGTTGCTAGGAAGAAATGAATTGGAGTCAGTGATAGGGATTGACACTGAAATTCCAAGGAATTTGTAGTCCATTTTCAGCTTTTAGAGCTAACTACATAATCGCCAGCCTCAGTAGCTGCTTACAATATCCAATGTGGCTACTGATGGCCATAGCACACCATGTTAAATGCTTATAGAAGATTTAGAGCCAGCTACAAAAGAAACTCTGCATTCAGATACAAATCATCCGAATAAATCATTAAAAAGATTTGGAGCTGCTACAAATTTCTTATACAAAGTTGCTAGTTAGACATGGTCCTTATCACAATATATTCTACAGTATTGCCATATTACTGGTCTGCACATTTCTTCAGCTACAGCTCACTTTTTTTTGTCGCTTCCAGGGACATGTACCACATGGCACTGAATATATAACATTTTGTAGAATTTGAACTTTTTCTTAAATCCTCTCTATCAACTTGCCAAAAATGTAAAATACATTTAAAGTGCCAAAAGACATTACATGTGGCCTCTGATCACAAATGCTCCACTGGTAGTATCACCAAGAATCTCTGCACTAATGTCCAGTTTTCTTTTGTTGATGGTACTTTAGGGTATTAAAACCAGCAGCGTATTTACCGAGAGGCAAACAAGGGGTTTGCCTTGGGCGGGAATTTTTAGGGAAGTGGCTCCGTGACCCAGAAGAAATGGCGGGAGCGGGGACCTGGTGAGGAGTCTTCGTGCTGCTGGAGGGTGGAAGGATGGCCAGCTGCTTCTTATGCAGGTTAATTTTTTTAATCAGGTGATCGGGTGTTGGCAGTGGTGGCAGAGGGTGGTGGAGATGGGGGGGGGGGGTGTGATTAAGTGTTGGTAGCGGTGGGAGGGTGGTGATGGGCAGTGGATAGCAGAGAGTGGCAGCGATGCGGGGTGCTGCTGGTGGGGGCGCTCGATTCTTGTATTGCCTAAGGCAGCTCAAGAAATTAATACATCACTGCCTAAAACCCAACTCCAGCCAGACTTTTTTTGGTGGGTAGAGTGAAAAAGTTGTTTAGAACCACATAGGTGTTTGTTGCTGCCCATGTTCCTAATGTAGGTATTTAGATACATCCTAGTAACAGGGAGTGAGAACAGCAGCATATGATGGGAAATCTACCCAATGGGGGCAGAGACAGTAATAACAAAACTGTTTTTAGACGTACGAAGAAGTGTTGGAACTTGGAACCTCTGTCTTGGAACCTTTAATGGTGCTGGAGTCTTTCTGGTCCAGCGGTAGCCATCCCCATCGTTTCTTATTCTGATGGGCATAGGACATGGAATGAGCAGATATCTCCCCTGTAGGGGGTATACTGATCAAATGAAGCTCAGAAACTTCCTGATAGTGTCAAAGCTTCCCTGCTCCTTCCTGATCTCCATACAGTCCCAATGGTCCATCGCTATAATGATTTGCCTTGCTGGCCAGTAGAAATGTGTGGGAGGTGGAAGGGTTGTAGCCAAACTTCAAACGCTTGGAAACATCGGAGTTTTGTTCAGTGTGTGCTGTCCAGCATTCTGGCTGAGTGGGAGAATAGGGGAGCTAAGGGAATTAAGGGGAGCTAATAAAAAGTAATAGGTGCTGCAGCATCAAAACTAAATAGATTCCCTCAACAACTAGTTCTGGCCAGCTCAGTAGATTATTTTAAAAAAGGTCTGGATGCATTCCTAAATGGATATCAACATTTTTGGATAACAACAATGGAGATTGTTGATCCAGGGACTATCCAGTTGCCTGCAATAGATCAGGTAGGAGCAAATTGGACCATGTATTATAGAGCTTTTTTGCCTTCCCCTGGATCAGCTATTGGTATCGGGCTCTGTAAATGAAGATTTTCCATTTATTTAGTTTTTCTATTGGTTGAACTACGTTAGGGGTCCCAAACATTCTAAACAAAAGACTTTAGAGGGGTTGGATTGTGGCTGGAGCAGTGGTAGGAGTCAAAAATGTCCTGGTGTCAGCAACAATGTACCATCATTGTTGTCATTGAGAGGAACAGTGCCCTATTGTTGGTCAGTGGGAGGAATAGTGTCCCATCGTTGTTGTCAATGTTAGGAATAGTGCCCATCCTGGATATCAGTGGGAGGAATAGTGCCACATCATTGTTTTCCGTGAGAGGAATAGTGCCTATCATTGGCTTCAGTTGGAGGAATAGTGCTCCATCATTTGTGTCAGTGGCATTAATAGTGTCCTATCACTGGTGTCAGTGGGAGGAAAAGTGCCCCACCATGGGTGTCAGTGGGAGGAATAGTGTCCCATCATTGGCATCAGTGGAAACAATAGTGCCTCATTATTGGTGTCAATTGGAGGAATAGTGCCCCATAATTGGTGTCAATAGGAGGAATACTGTCCCATCGTTGGTGTCAGTGGGAGAAATAGTGCCCCATCATTGGTGTCAGTAGGAGAAATAGTGCCCCATCATTGGTGTCAGTGGGAGGAATAGTGCCCCATCATTGGTGTCAGTTGGAGAATAGTGTCCCATTGTTGGTGTCAATGGTAGGAATAGTGCCCCAAGGGCTGGTCAGAGGCAAGCAAAGAGCCACAGCTTGGAGACCACTAAACTAGATGGACTTGGATGTGTGTTTTCTCAACCTGACTAACTATATGTAACACTGAAGACATTATTCGTTTCATCCCCAAACCCACAACTTTCTTCAGTACTCATGTGTATTGAGCCCTCTGGCTTGCTACATCTTTTTAGGTGGGTTGTTTTAGAAGAGCACTATATGGGTGCTGGGAACCTGTGCTGGGGGTCCCCATTTTGTTGCCTATCTCTGAAAAATCTTACAGCCAGAAGGCTCGAAAGAGCCAAGAGCCAATCAACACGGTGGTGCTTGCCAGGAGATTATAAAAGTAAATGGGAATCTTCAGCAAATTTGTGTCTCTTTAATGATGCCCAGTCATTAAGAACATTATAAAACATTGGCAGGCATTCAGATCAAATCCCATTTATCGGCAGATGTGTACTGAAATAAGGATAGCTGAGTACAATCAATTGGGAACTCACTGCAGTCTTTTTTTTTTCTTTAGAGGGACTGCAGAATTTTTATTAAAAATATTCTTTAATGGCAGTGCATAAAGAAGAACTAATAACAAAATGTGTGCATGTTAGCTCTTCCAAAAAATGTAATTCATTTTCATCATGAAATGCAGTTGGTGTTATAGTAAATGTGTCACAGACCTGAACAATTTAAACCCAGCATATAATAAAAAGCACATAAAGAGAGAAAACCTTAATCCCGGGTTCAAACTGCTGCGATGCATTAAGACAGTTGATTGCGTTGCATTGATGTGCGTTACTTAAATAAAGGTTATGTTAAGCCAAATAGGGCCTGTAAATAGATGATGTGAATGGGCCCTAAATGAAAACTAGTCAGTAGATCAGCAGTACCACCAAAATACAGCAGCTGAAGTTAAAGTGTTACTAAACCCAGGACCCTGCATTCACTATATCTGGTCTCCCACAGTACACAGAACATGGAAATGCAATTGTAGTACATATAAACTACTAAATAAAATTACTTTTTTCATCAGCAGTATATAGCAGTCTTGTAACTTCTATCAGTGTCTGGCTGAGCTCTGGTTAAAGCTTGCAGGAAGAGTTTTCGTTCTGCTCTGACTGTCCTATGAGGCTGCGTAACCCCTGACCTTCTGTTTGGACAGTGCTGATTGGCCCTGTGCTGTGCTGATCACATGCCCCCCCCTCCCCAAAGAAAAAAAAAACTTTCTAGCCATACATACTAAATTGAGCATGTGCAGACTTGCTACTGCTGCTCTGTACTATGGTAGATAGATTGGGACTGTGGAAGAAAGGGAGCACCAGAGAAGACAGGATCAAACAGCCTTTTTTATACAATGCAGAGAAGTAACCCCTTAGGTTCCACACTGAAACAAGCATGCTTTACTGCATATACAGACTGATTTTACTGTTGTGGGTTTAGTAACACTTTAAATCTTGACTTTTACTAGTAAGGTGGAGCATATCACGCTACCCTTTCTTTGTCTTTAGGGACTCCCTGTTGGTCAGAGGGGCAGGGGAAATATTTGCCTTTTACAGAAAAAGGTCAAGGTTTGTGTATAACATCAGCTGCCCATATCTCTGGATTTACTGATAGATCTTACATGTAGTTTTCACCAAAGGTAACCTTTGCTTATATATTTTTCTCACTTAAAGCTTCAAAGCTGAAGTCTCTTATATATATATATATATATATATATATATATATATATACACAGTATTTTCTGGTATATAAGACTACTTTTTATACTTAAAAATATATAAAAAAAATTGGGGGTCGTCTTATACGCGGGGTATAAAATGTGAACCATAAGTTTGTTTGGGTCAAGCTGGCTGGATGTGCAGTAATGTACATACAGTATACCGTGCTGAGCCAAGCTGGCTCAAAACAAATGTCCCTATGAGAGATTAATCTGCCAGCCCGCTGGATGTGCGGTATATACAGTATACTGCGCTGAGCCAAGCGGTTTCAAAACGTACCGGTACGTCCCTACTGTAATCAGACCGCTGGATGTGTGTATGTACGGTAGCTGCGACTACATACAGTATACACTGGGCCAATCACGGCGAGTGATGTATTCTACTAATGAATACAAAGCCTGCTTGGACTGGCTGAGTCAGAGAGGTGGGTTGATGATGTCACAACCTCAGCCAATCCGAGCAGGCTTTGTATTCATTAGTAGAATACATCACTCACCGTGATTGGCTCAGCGTATACTGTATGTAGCCGCAGCTACTGTACATACACACATCCAGCGGGCTGATTACCGTAGGGACGTACCGGTACGTTTTGAAACCGCTTGGCTCAGTATACTGTATATACCGCACATCCAGCGGGCTGACAGATTAATCTGTCATAGGGACATTTGTTTTGAGCCAGCTTGGCTCAGTGCCGTATACTGTATGTACATTACTGCACATCCAGTGGCCTGTATATATACTGTATACTGTATACTGTATGTAGCCGAAGCTACCGTATTACTGCACATCCAGCGGTAACCATCTGATTTGGAATTTGATCCATATGATGACTGTCTTACAAATGTATCACATGTGTCATTCATGAACTTATGATGTCAGAGGATGAACATGAGGATTTTGAAGGATTTTAAGTACCGGTAAGTCATAACCATTTCAATTAAAAAATCTGATGTTTTTAAATGGCGTTGCCTCAGAAGGGGGGTAGTCTTATACGGCGAGTATAGCCCAAAACCTATGTTTTAACTGGAAAATTAGGGGGTCGTCTAATACACCCAGTCGCCTTATACGCCGGAAAATACGGTATATATATATATATATATTATATTATTCCTTTTTTTTACCCTTCTTTTCCTCCTCATTTCCATGATAATTACATTTTTTAAATAGAACCTTTTAGTTTTTATTGCATACCTTATTTCAGGTCCAGTGATGTCATCAATGGGTCTCTGTGTTTCTCTATGCAATGTGGGGGGAGCACAGCTGGTGGGAGGGGGGGCTGGCAGGGTGCTGCACATAGCTTTCTGAAAACATCACAGCACCCTGTCCCAGTACTCCTCTCAAGCATCTTGCTTCACTCCGCTTCATTCTCATGTTGGGGGCTGGAGTTCTGCTGTAGGTTATAGTAGAGACAGATATGAATACTATTCAGCATCTTAGAGCATCAATCTAAGCAGACAAGGCAAGCCTGGGTTTCCTTTACTTTCTTTACAAACATGTTGTTCTATTATAGTAAGTTTCCCCAGATATTTGCATTTTCATTTATTTATTTCTTCTTTTACATGGTGTTTCCATCATTTAGTCCAACCCCGTATATCATTTATGGCTATTGAGGACAATATTTATTTATTACAGGTATAGTGCCATCAATTTACGCAGTGCTTTACATATACTGTATATATTGTACATTCACATCAGTCCTGGAGCCAGTGGTGTATTTATGTTTTGTGCTACCCTAGGCAACACAAAAATCACCCCCCCCCCCCCCACAGAGAGAGCCTGACACCAACCACCCCCCTCATCCCCCTGCGGAGAGAGCCTGATATTGACCAATAACAACCCCCACCCGAGACAGCCTTATACTACCACCGCCCCACATACAACAGCCACCGAAATGCCAGGACAGTACAAATACCCTCCCCCAAATGAAACTCTTTTTGGAAGGTAGACAGTTCAAGGTATGTAGTAAGAGGAGGCATGATTAGTTTTTTGAAGTTGTAATTTTTTTGGCGCAATTTTTGGGAAAATAAAGACATTTTAAAAAAAATAGTTTTCTTCACAATTTGTTTTTAACATTCAGCACCAGTTTTTTTCCCCTTTTTTATTAAATTTTTTAATGATTTTTAATCATGTTGTGACCAGAGCAATACAGTGCTACCATAGTAACACTGTACTACTCTGGGGAGGTGATCAGGATTTTGTTTTTTTACACACTATGATTGCCTATAACAGTGATAATCACTGTTATAAGCAACCATTTTTTTCTGAATTAAATCCATTCATTCGGTGGCTACTATTGTGATTAGCTGTGATTGGCCACAGATAGTACAGATGGGCTGTGATTTTCCCTGTCTGTACAGTGTGATGACTGTGACCAGTCACAGAGATCAGCACAATAGTACACAATGCATGGTATTAATGAAAGCCATCCACTGTGTACAATTGTCATGTGATCTACTGTGATTGGTCACAGTGATCACATGGTACCGACAGTGGCCTGGGACACTGATCTGTCACCCACTGTTTGCGGTGGACACAGTATGTGACAGATTGCGCCGAGGCACGATCCTGGGAGGCAGTCATATGACGTCCATCCAGGAAGGGAGAACACCTGCTCGGCCACTGTATTACAAAAGGCTGGGCAGGAAGTGGTTTAGGACTAGACTGCAGAACACTTCCCCCTCTCCTTTTCTCCATATCATAGGTGGCCGGTGTTCTATAGTTGGCAAAGATGAGCTGGTAGTAATGCTAACTGATAACAGGGCAGAGAGAGGATGAGCTTAGGCGCTCACTGGAAATCTATCAGGATCAACTGGTATTTTTTTACACTTATCGAAAAGATATAACAAAATGATGTCAGTGGTAGATTTACCAGAACAAAAGGAAGGAAATAAGAGAAGCTCATTTTTAGGATTTACTTTCACTTGAACTATATCTTTGCCCCAAATGTCCTAACGTTTGATGTTTCTCCATTGCCTGGGTTCCAAGGCATTGCGTCAAATCCATTTACTCCCCTCTGATTTCTGAGACAACTGTTGACAACAGCAGAGGATGTGTTTTAGCTGACGTTTAACTTGTTTGCATGCACAACGTTCTTTGTTTTGACCTGTTTAACCTGAAGACAATTTTCTCTACTGCATACATTTTATTTGGCATTGATGGGTGAACTCCACAGGCAGCCGGAGAGTCAAGGTGTTTTATACAATTATGCTGCATTAGGCTGATAAAATTTCCATTTATCTCAAGACAGTATTTCAGAATATGCAGCAAATCACACAAAATCAAACCAACATGTTACCAAGATATTCTAATTAGCTGAAGAAATCTGACTAAATTTAAGTGTTAGCATCAAGAAAGCGGAATGGAGCAGGTACTGTGGGGTGGCCATCATCCAGACATCTGAGGTTTAACTCTTCTTTGCTTTTATACAGTAGCTCCATGATGAACTGTTAACATCATATTACTAGAACTGTATAAATGTCGGTTTTCTCTCTAATGGCCAGACTTTCTCAACCTTTCAACCTTGAAATAACTTTTAGACTTCAAGGTAACCTCTGTCAATAATTCGTATATCTACCACTCATGGGACATTAATATAATTACATAGTTAGTAATGCTGAAAAAGACAGAAGTCCCAAGTTCAACCAATAGAAAAATAAATACAATAAAAAACTTCATATACAGAATCCTATACCCACATTTGATTAAAAAAAAAACCCTATGAAGTGTGGCCTAGTTTGCTCCAGTTAGGGAATATTAATTTCCTTCCAGATCCTCCCAGAAGACTATTGGTTATTCCTTGGATTAACAGATTTTGGTATTATTACCTATAACTAAGATGTACTGTATTAACATGAACAGTAAGGCTCAGCTCACACTAGTGCAACCTGAAAGTCGTGTGACCAGGGGCGGACTGACAACTCATGGGGCCGCCGGGCAATAGGGGATCATGGGGCCCCTGTGTCCTTGCCCAAACTCAAAAAAGCCTATGAAAAAGGTACCAAGGGCATCTCATGGGGCCCCCTACTGACCCCGGGCCCTTGGGCAGTGCCCGAGTTTCCAAATGGTCTGTCCGCCCCTGGTTGATATCCATTTAGGAATTCATCGAGACCTTTTTTAAAACAATCTACTGAGCTGGCCAGAACTAGTTGTTGAGGGAATCTATTTAGTTTTGATGCTGCAGCACCTATTACTTTTTATTAGCTCCCCTTAATTCCCTTAGCTCCCCTATTCTCCCACTCAGCCAGAATGCTGGACAGCTCACACTGAACAAAACTCTGATGTTTCCAAGCGTTTTAAGTTTGGCTACAACCCTTCCACCTCCCACACATTTCCACTGGCCAGCAAAGCAAATCATTATAGCGATGGACCATTGGGCCCCTGTGTCCTTGCCCAAATTCAAAAAAGCCTATGAAAAAGGTACCAAGGGCATCTCATGGGGCCCCCTACTGACCCTGGGCCCTCGGGCGGTGCCCGAGTTTCCAAACGGTCAGTCCGCCCCTGTGCGTGACTTTGCAAGGCAACTTTTTGGCAACTTGAATATGACTTTGATGCAACTTGATGTGTGTGACTTTCATGTCATGTGACTTTGCCTGGGTAATCTTCCTGTAATGTTGGATCCAAACGTTGGATCCAAATCACTTCAATTTATATGAGCATCCAACTTGGAGGAATCTTCTATTAAAGTCTATGGGCACAGATTAGATAGAAGTTGCCTTGAAGTGG